GTGTGTGTGTGTGTGTGTGTGTGTGTGTGTGTACAAGAGAGGTAGATGGATAGATGGATGGATGGGGTGGATCGATTATGGATGGATAGATGGGTGGATGGGTTGATAGATGATGGATGGATGGTATGGTGTGTGGATGGGGGAATGTGTAGAGTGATGAATGGGTGGATGTATGTCTGTTTGGGTGGGTGTCAGGTAGATCTTAGTGTTGGTGGGGGTGCCCTTCATGGCAGAACCTGCTCCCTGGTGTGGAACAGCTCTTCTGCTCTGCTATGTGTGGGAGGCTTCAGATGTGGTAGTGTGAACCTGGTTTGTGCTGAGCCCATATTGGGATGGCCCACAACTTTCCACACTGTTTTCCCTCAGCTGCCCATTGTGGCATCCTCCATCGTGTCCCTCTACTTCCTGGAGCTGACTGACCTGTTCAAACCGGCCAAGGTGGGTTTCCAGTGCTATGATCGTGCACTGTCCATGCCGTATGTGGAGAGCAACGAGGAGTTCATCCCTCTGCTGATGCTGCTGAGCCTTGCCTTTGCGGCACCTGCAGCCTCGGTGGGTGATGTATGCAGGGCCTGGGGGCTGGGAACCCTGACTGTCACCCACCTGACCCCATGTCCCCGTGGTACAGATCATGGTAGGCGAGGGCGTGGTGTACTGCCTGCAGTCCCAGCTGTGGGGCCTAGGTGGCCCAGAAAGAAGCATCAACGCAGGCGGCTGCAACTTCAACTCTTTCCTGCGGCGCACAGTGCGTTTTGTGGGTGAGTGGCCACAGGGCCCCCTGATCTTGCACTGACAGTCCTTCATGGGGGGGACTCCTGCCCCCTGCCCTGACCCTTCCCCCTGCAGGTGTGCATGTCTTTGGCCTGTGTGCCACGGCCTTGGTGACCGATGTCATCCAGCTGGCCACTGGCTACCACACACCGTTCTTCCTGACTGTCTGCAAACCCAACTACACCCTGCTGGGCACCTCCTGTGAGCTGAACCCCTACATCACGCAGGACATCTGTTCTGGCCATGACACCCATGCCATCCTGTCAGCACGGTGAGTCTAGCTTTGTTGTGGGACTGTCCTGTGCCTCCACTCTAATGAGGATTGGGGAAACTGAGGCATGATGCATGCATCCATCCATCTCCACCCCAGTGAGGCCTTGGGAAATTGAGGCATGGCATGATTTCCCCCAAGACCAGTGAGCTGATACTGTGGCCTCTTGCAGGAAGACCTTCCCGTCTCAGCACGCAACACTGTCTGCCTTCGCTGCTGTCTATGTGTCGGTGAGTTGCAGCCCTGCTGCCCTGTGTCTGTGCCCACTACTGGGCACGGTGTATCCTGACCACTGTGCTGCTGATTCCTAGATGTACTTCAACTCTGTCATCTCAGACACCACAAAACTGCTCAAGCCCATCCTTGTGTTTGCTTTTGCCATTGCTGCTGGTGTCTGCGGCCTCACACAGATCACCCAGTACCGTAGCCACCCTGTGGATGTCTATGCTGGCTTCCTCATTGGCGCTGGCATTGCAGCCTACCTGGTGAGAGTGGGGCTACAGGGGTGGCCAGCCAGCATGGGCTGAGGGGACATTAGTGGCCTGGAGTATGAGGGAGGAAGATCCTTCCAGGTCTTCAGAGGGTTCCATTTCCCTTGGGAGGTTGGTGCCCAAAGCTCACAGCTGGCTTGCTGGATAGACATGCATCCACTGTTCTCAGGCCACAGGCCCTTGGGTACGGTCCCCAAGGCCTCATGCCAGTTTCTATGTCTCCTTCAGGCCTGCCACGCAGTGGGCAACTTCCAGGCCCCAGCAGCAGAGGTGTTGGCCCCAGCCCCTGCCAAGGATGCCCTGCGGGCACTGACCCAGCATGGCCATTACCAGCAGAACAAATCAGTCAGCACAGATGAACTGGGCCCTCCAGGGAGGCTGGAGGGTATGCCACGGCCTGTGGCTCGAGAGAAGACTTCACTGGGCAGCCTGAAGAGGGCCAGCGTTGATGTGGACCTACTGGCCCCTCGAAGTCCCATGGGAAAGGACAGCATGGTCACTTTCAGCAACACACTGCCCCGTGTTAACACACCCTCACTGGATGACCCTGCCCGGCGCCACATGACCATCCATGTGCCTTTTGATGCCTCTCGCTCCAAGCAGCTCATCACGGAGTGGAAGCAGAAGACTCTGGAAGGCCGGGGCCTGGGGCTGCCGGATGAGGTCAGCCCTGCACACCTGCGTGCTCCAGCCGAGCCTATGGCTGAGGAGGAGGAGGAGGAGGAGGAGGAGGAAGAAGAGGAGGAAGAAGAGGAGGAGGAGGAAGGGCATGTACCGCCCTCACTCTACCCCACCGTCCAGGCTCGACCAGGGCTCGGGCCCAGGGTCATTCTGCCTCCTAGGCCTGGGCCACAGCCCCTGATTCACATCCCTGAAGAAGGGGTGCAAGCTGTTGCCAGCTTGTCCCCCAAGAGCAGCTCAGCAGTACGAGCCAAGTGGCTGTCCATGGCTGAGAAAGTTGGGGCCCCCGTGGCCACGGCTCCATCACAGCCCCGTGTGGCCAACCCTCCACGTCTGCTGCAGGTCATCGCCATGTCAAAGGCTGCAGGAGGTCCCAAGGTGGAAACTGCTTCATCATCAAGCGCCAGCTCTGACTCTTCTCAGTACCGTTCACCATCAGACCGTGATTCGGCCAGCATTGTCACCATTGATGCGCATGCCCCCCACCACCCTGTGGTGCACCTGTCGGCGGGAAACACATCCTGGGAGTGGAAAGCCAAAGTAGTGGAAAGTGAGGGAAGCTATGAGCTAGGGGACCTGGCGCGTGGCTTCCGGGGTGGCTCAAAGCCTTCTGGCTTGGCTCCTAGCTCTCCAGTCAGCGACATGGACCAAGAGGAGCCAAGGTTTGGAACTATAGCTACTGTCAACCTGGCCACGGGTGAGGGTCTGCCCCCACCAGGTGCTGCCGATGGGGCCCTAGGTGGGGGTAGCCGAGAGTCCACCCTGAGGCGCCAGGCCATGCTGGGTGAAAGGGAGGAGGCAGAAGCAGAGGGCTACTACCGGAGGATGCAGACCCGTAGGTTCCAGGACTGAAGGGTACTGGGGGACAGGGCGGGACACCATGGAGTCAATAAAAAGGCTTTGTTGACAACACTGGTTGGCAGGTCCTTGGGCAGCAGACTGGGAACCCTGGATCAAACCAAAGCCTTGGGGAGTTCCCCAGGAAGCTGCCTGCAGCCGCCCCCCGCCCCCCCCC